TTGGTCCTGGATGGTCTTGTTCTATTTTTACTCATTGAAAGTTACCGACTACTCACAAGTGAGTAGTATCTCATAACAATAGTAGTAGCACACAACGAACACGAATCACTGATTAGCAATCACGGACGTCACGTAAGCACTGGACCGCACTGGCACTAGCACGTAATGTCCCACATAATCGAGACGCAAATTAATGCCCATGGGATTAGTAGTTCGTTTATTGAAATAAATAAGGGGGATTAAATAATATGTACTAAACAAACTCACCGGTCATTCTGGCGTTTGCCAATAGCGTTCTAGTATTTCTGCCGTTGTTCAGCTTTTGTCTGGACCGCACGGTTTCTGATTGGCTGGCACAATCAACCTATGATATTGTAGTCCAGAAACTGTGGCACGCAGGCATTTTGCTGACGTCACCCGCGAAGCTCGATTGATCACAGTTGTCCTAAAACTGTGACGTGTCGCTCTGTGGTGTGTATCATCGCGTGAGCTAAGATCACCACAACTGCCCACTGAAATCTCAGTTTCCGGTGAGCGCTCGTAAAAACGGGGACCTTTGTTGCTTTGTTGTTGAACAATCTGTGGTCTTCAAGAAACAGAAGTAGGCCATCTCCCCGTCTGATTGGATGAGGTCGCATGCGGGTAGACTATGCGTTTCACAAAGTTCGATTTATGAGAACTGAAGGGTCTGCCGATTTCAGTTTGAACACATTGTTATTCCTTACAACCATCAATACGCAATGGACAGATATTCCGTACGAGGGGGCGTTAAACGCACTGTTCTGTCCTCTAGCTGCCATTCCATTTTGTTGTATAGCAGTCCCTCATTAGTTAAAGTTCAAAATTTCCACTGTCGCGGTTGGCATGATCGCTTGATATTATCAGCACTCAACAGTAAATTCACGGTTATTTTTCTATCAATTTCCTCTGGAAACATTGATCGTACAGCATTATTGTAATTATGATTTCTCAGGACGTAAAGCCTCTAAATTTGAGACAAATGTACACATTAAATAGAGAGGAAGAAAAATGTTATGCTTTAAAACTTTCAAGAAAACCTGTGAAGGCCTGCTTTTCGTTAACTAGAATGCGCGCTAAGGAGGATACCGTGGAATTGGGTTTATGTTTGTTTTTTTTCGAGCGAGAGAGAACGAGTGAGAGAGAACACAACGGTATTGGGATTTAGTTGACGGATGTGAACGACAAGAACTCAAATCTGCGTGTAGCAGATTAATTATCAACCCCTTCGGCTAAATTGAAGAGACACGGCTAATGATGACCAAATCTGTTTCAAATCTTTCTTTAGGAGATTGGAAATAGACAGCAAGTGAACAAAAAAGTAAAACGGGAAAAACGAATTTGGAGATAATCGATTGTTGAATTCAAAGATTGCGAATATGGAAAAGTCAAAATTTAGTGACGATATATTGATCGTGAGAGGTCTAACGAAGGTTATCATCGATAAAATCACCCAGGCCTTTGATACAGCTTACACGGGATACTGATTCAGAGACAGTCGACACCGGTTCAGATGAAAATAAAGAACATCATAACATGAAGAGATATTAAAAACATTGAAATTGATTAAGAGAGAGGGCAACCAAATGTGTTGGGAATTTGTTAAACATTTTCCAAGTTGTCAAAAAATGGCTAAGGATCAGAACAATCAGAGGTAGCCTGACACAAAATTACTTCGTCAGCGCACTTAAAGAGATAAGTAGAAGCGTTAGCAAAAAAGTCGCTTATGAACGTAGAAGACATGCAATTTAATGTTCCTAAATGCAAAGCCCTATCCCTACGCCACAAGCGAAAATTCTCGCATTTCCTCGGGGACCAGCAGCTACCACATACCTCTAGCGAAAAAGACTAAGGTATTGTTGTTCAAGAGGAGTTAAGCTGCTCCAACAACTGTGCTAAGGTTTCGTCTGCTGCTATGAAGAATGTCGGCTTACTTCGGCAAGTCTTTGACCGGTTTGAATCATCACTATTCCCACGTTTGCTATCAGCGTACATTCGACCCTACACAGAGTACGTCATCCAAGCTTGAAGTCCATGGCTTCAACGTGATCGCAAGATGCTTGAGCGTCCACAAAGGATGGTCACCAAGATGGTCAAGGGATTGCATTACCTGACATATGAGCAGAGATCACGACCATTGGGACTATATTCTGCTCAGTTCCGCCGAACTCGGAGAGACTTGATTTTGACGTATCAAATACTGCAGAACCTAAACCATCCGTGTCGAGCGCTGCTCATGTTATCGAAAAATGTACACCTAAGGGGACATCGTTTTAAACTACTGATTCCCGAGTGTCGACTGGATTGCTGGCGCCAGTCTTTTGCTGTCAGAGTATGCAGATCTTGGAACGCCCTTCCATCTCATGTCGTTTGTGCACCCACCATTGAATCTTTCAAGCAGAGACTCGATGAAATCTTGGCACACCTCACATTCGTACACTACTAAAAGCAAACGGAAATTCACTGTAGCCTACATTCTCTATTATCTCCTACCCGGAACTCTATGTGACTGCTTTTTCGAAGTGTAACGATTCATCTGTGTAACTATCCTATGGGACCAGAGAAGCATCAGCTTGTAAGTTATTCCCATAATAAAACTTTGACTTTGACTGTACCTTGCATTACCCTAGAGTGGTTCACTAATTGTTTGAACCTGCTACAACCCAACCCGGTGCTTGGGTTCTCCCGGAAACATAATCAGCAAATCAAGTTGTCTGAAACAACCGAAGATCTCCAGTTTACGAAGAAGAAGGGAACGAGGAATAGAATCAAAAGTAGATGAGTAGTCCAAAAACACACAATGGACAGATTTCCCGGAGGCATTCAAGGATTTGTTTATTTTATGTATAAGTGAGGAAACTGCATCTAGCGTGCATGCGTTTGGGTTATAGGCAAACTCAAGTCGATCATACGGGACATCGATGGAGGACTAAATGCGCGTAAGAACGACACGTTCTGCTAGTTCATGTCCAATAGAAGTCAAAGAGATAAGATGGAAGCGTTTGGTTAGAACGTTTGGAGTAGAGGATTTGGGAATGGGAACAATTGTTACTGATTTCCAACAGTCTCGTATGGTGAAGATTTTTAAGGAAGTGTTCAAAAATAATGCAAACATTTCCTTGAGAAAATAGGCTCATATCTCAGAAGGGAAGATGGAAGAGCCTAGGGTCCAGCACTGCTGTGGTTTTGATAGTACGCAGTAGTTTCAAAGTTTCTTCTTTCAAGAGGGCCTCTAGTTAAACGCCATTATTCAGAACAAATGGCATGATGCAATCACTTGAAGAGTGAATAAATGTTGCATCCGGAGTTTCTGATTTGATGCCTTGCCAAACTCGTTTAGTGTTTCCGCATTGCAGAATCTGGAAGGTGTACGAAGCAGATAGGCGTCTGATTTCAGCTTTGATCAGGTTGGTGTAATAATTGATTCCCGCTGATTTTATTTTTTTCTCACAAATCTATCAATCCAAGTTCCATTTTCCACAGTTTTGTTGTATAACATTTGTTCTGAAGCAACTTGGAAGTTCATGATTCTTTCATCATCTTTGCCTATTTCTTTATCTATATCAAGCATTTGCGGAACTCCAAACTACCTCGCTCCCGAGGTATTTCTACGAGAAGGTCATTCCAAAGCGGCCGATTGTTGGGCCGCTGGAGCTACACTTTATTTCATGCTCTGTGCCAGGGCACCATTTCAACCTGCTGATCCAATCGGGGATGGCAATACGGGGTTCCTCTGCATGGATTCGCTCAGTCGGGGGTCCAGTGTTCCAACCACACCGAGTACTCCATCAGTTCAACCGGTCGGTTCGCAGGTTCGATCGATATGTCGTTGTCTACTTCTGGGTCGATATGAGTTCCCGACCTCGGTGAGTCAGCCTGCTCGGCAGGTGATACAAAAACTGCTCCAGCGTGCTCCGACATCCAGACCGACTGCATCTGAGGTTCTCCGTATGGAGTTTTGTCTACGTCAATCTGAGTGAGTTATCAGTTTGAGTGTCTCGTTATTATTACTGAACAGGTAATCAATTTGTGTTTTAGTGACGACACCGCACAATCAAGACCATGTAATCGTAACATCAAATAAACCAGTCTACATAGCTGGGGTAGTTTGGTATTTTTTGTCGTCTGCAGTCGACTGAAACGTTTACCGCGTATCACATGAGTGACTGATTAGTCAATGCGATCTGACACCGCACGCACTCACACACACCTCTGGTTCAAGGTCCAGCCGTCTGAACGAATCAGATGTCAATATTGATTTGTCCGCATGGATTAGCCTGTTGATTCCTCAGCTAGAAGACATTCTGTATTTTGGTAACGCTTGCGCCAGTGTTGGTCTGCCTGTTTACACGCCTATGCTCTGTCTGCTGACTGGTCCGCAGATCGACTACGTCTGTATGCTTACACTACAAATAGACAAACTGAATAGTTCACCGCGTACGTATCTATTTTCTTAAACTGGACACCACAGTGTGTGAGTGAATTTTTTTCATCCATTGTGGACGGAATTTTTACTGAAATGTGTTATCACTCGTTGTGGCATACATGCTATTCAAATGGATTTGCAGATATGATATCTTATAAATTAACAATAATGAGGATCGAGAACGCGTAGTAGATGGAGAAAAGTGCAGCATGAAAATTTGCATCAGACGGTTTGTAAGTTCGTTGGATATTCGTACTTTGGAAACCAATCGATATGAAAGGTAAGGTGTAACGGAATTGTGAACGGTTATGGTGCTGTTATATAAAGGCTTAAATTAATTGCGGGTGAAATGAAGAGTGAAAAGGTTGAGTGAAATGGATGTAATGTGTCGGACAAGATAGAGTCGCATAGACGGTCACGCCCCAAGGTGTTGGTCGAAAACACAGTGGACCCATGTCACTTAAGAAACAGCTCAAAATCTAGAGATGCTTTACACAGAACGTCTGTCTTACTTCAAGAATTGTTTGTTGTACATGTTAGGACCATTTGAGATTATCAAACAGAAAACATCCAACATAGTTAGTTGTTGGAAAATTTCAGCGACATCGCAGTGCTGATGGCAATAACGGTCGTTACACTGGCCAAAGTGGATTAAATCGATCGATAAACTCTGTCGTGCTGGCGTATCTGTGCAAGCGAGTAAACGATTAATGCGGCTGTCCCCGTTGGTAAACTGGAATGTAGGTGCTGAAAGTTGGCTGTACATTTGTATACTCAATAAATTAAAGGAAATCAACACATCAAATGCTCCCCATCCACCCAATCCTATAGACCACAATGATCCAGTTCCAAGAGGTTGAGCTAATACTGAATTGTCTTTGATTATAAAATGATTCCCCTTGCAACATCAATCCGAAACTCATCACGGAAATGCTTGAAATCACTGTACAGCTGTTTCATCATTCATATGGATCGTCAACGCCACAACAGCAACAATAGTTAGTGTACGGATATAGAGAAACGCTCTCTTTGGTGAAGACCGCAAAGATGGGTTGTGCTATATTGTGCAAATGGAAAAATGAAAAGTGGTCTAATCAGCTGCCCGGTGGCTGAATGGGTAGCGTGCTTGCGTTCTGTCTGTGAGATCCCGGGTTCGTTCCCCATTTGAGGGTCGATGGATTCGCACATTGTACGGATGAGACCGAACCAGGTTGAAACAGCTATCCAGCAGTGCTTCCTAGCTTTTCAGTTCATGCTTCAATTTCTCTGTACACGATAAATTGCTTCTATGAAATATATAAAAATGTAAATGCATGTTTTTGTTGGAATATTCCTATTGTTCACTGAAAAGACAGTTGAATCGACGAATTACTTTGAAGTATTCATTCTGCGCATCAATTTGCCTGCTACTGCTGAACGGATTCAAGAGCATCTCGAGGCGTTCAGTTCATGCGTTTGAATCTATGCAAGTAGTCGGAAACCGTGTTCTTTCAAAACGTGATTCTTTCCGAGCTGGCCTGTGTGTGTGTGTGTGTATGAGGGGGGAAAGGGAGACCGTTCTTCGGGCTCACACTCGAGATGAAAACATGCGGTGATAACAACAATATTAATAATAATAATATCTTTCTACAACTCAATTATCTACCACGAAATGATACCAGACATGTGTATGGCATCGCGTATTAACATCTCATAATCATCAAACCGGTAACTATGAGGAATTGCAAATCTCACTTGTCAGTCCGGTGTACGGGAGCTACACAGGCTGATGGACTGGTTTCTTTGTATCACTTGGCCATCACTGTCGCTATCCTTTTCAACTTAGACACTTCACACTGGAAGTGATCCAAGGTCCAGTTGGTTCTATCCAACTCAACCACAACCACAACAATAACATTATTTACGATCCAGTTTTTAGATGTGTGACAAACAGCAACAAAAGAAACATTATGTGACTCATTCACGTCCCACCCACCCCTTTGCTGGCGAACTGTGATTTTTGTCTCGTGTCGTCCAAGATGATTCACACACTCACGATCCACTTCAAGTTAAGTATACAAAAACAAAATTTCTTAAAATGAGACAGAACATTGAACTTGTTCCGTTTTACTTGACAGCCATGAAGAAATGATGTATATATATGAGACAACTTGGGCTCAAGTACATTTGTTGTACATTGTGTGGGACAGACACATTTCGATCAATCGGAATCATACATCACGGTCCAACTTTAGCCATGACTAGGGGTACAAGCAATACGAAAAATAAATCGTAACACACTCTGTACGTTTGTTAGCGGTTGCATAATTTTATTGCGTCACGTGTGTGACTGATGTACTTCCATACTGTTGTAAATTCTTTGATTTGGCCATATCATAACACCAACCATTTGAGTCGAGTGTCAGAGGACAATATCGTGAATTTCTCCGGATATGACGATACCTGTCTGTTACACAAGGATGTCAAACAGATATC